ACTAAACTTTGAAAAGCATGGATTGAGAGCTGGTGTTCGGAGATATCTGCCTGCTGTCGCTGTTCTGAATCTCTTCTCTTCTCAATAGGCTTTCGAAGTTTGAATCCTCCACTGACAATTGTACGCAAAACATTTGAGTCTACAGAGAATCCAGATGACTTCCTGCCCTCAGTAATGACTTGTGTGAACTATCTCAAATTGCCGGACTATTCAACCATTGAGATAATGCGTGAAAAACTCTTAATAGCTGCAAGAGAAGGGCAGCAGTCATTCCATCTTTCCTGATCACAATGAAAAATGCAATGTCTGCCTGTTACAGCAAACGAGAAACTCATGATTCTTTTCTAAATATATCACCTGAGTCAAGGAAACGTGTTACGCCTTCTTGTTGTAGAAAAACGGCTTGCAGATTATAAGCAAAAGACACTTGGTTGATATTCATTAAAGGCCCCTTTGGACTTAAAGTGATCAGGCCCTAAAAAGTTGTTGTGACAAGGTTTCTTTAGCAAGTTCTTGTTTAAATTATCATTTATTTGATGAGTGAAGTTTTTAACTTGCTTTGCTGTGTGAAATTTAAAAAGGGATGTTTTTCCAGGCTGGAACAATAAATGTCGCTGTGCAGTTTAATACTGGGCTGTGTGTATCCATCTAGCTGAAGTCTGAAGTTTTTCCTCCAAAGACAACTTTTGTACATAAGTACAGAAATTAAAATACACCATGTATTTGACAAATCTAGTTTAGTAGACTAGTTCTGTGTACCCTCACCTGCCTCTAATTTTACCCATCCTCATGTATTGTCTGATGTGCAATTCACTTGGTTCTTTTTGTGTGCAACATTCAACAATTGTTATGTTTTGGTTAGCATGAGCATTTAACTGCTCCATGCCTCTTTCTCTGATTAAGATAATTTAAATTTTACTGAAATCAAATATATATTGTCAATATAATTCAGCCTTTGTAACTAGGTAGAACCTTTCTTATAGCATAGTTTTACTGTAGTGGTAAGATATACTGGTGACAGTCTTTACCAGTCTGCGCTCTAGAGCTGTTTACACAGTGATTCAGGCAGCAGAAGCCTCTTACTAGAGGCTAGGAAGAATTTCATGTAGTTGAAGTCCAACAGCTTGGGCTGGCCAGTGTGTATTGTGGTAAGGCCAGAGCATTTCGAATTGATGTAAAGTTTTTTAAAAGACAAATTAGCTGTTTCATTCCCTGTTTGAGTAAACGATTTTCTTGTTCTTGATCTAAGTTCCTGGTTACTTTTGTAGTTTTTTTTTTTTTTCTCCCCTCAGCGCTAGCTTGGAACAGACAGTTCAGCCTTTGTCTTTTGACACAGATAAAGCACCTGTAAGCAATGCTCTGTCCAACTGTTTTATGTGCTGATTTCTCAAATCTGCAATAATTTACTTCATCAGGTTAATGTTTTTACCTGAATATAAATAAAAAAAGTTTGCTTCACCTTTTTGTTCATAGTTTTGTACTGTATGCATAAAGTTCAATTGTGTAAATTGCTGTAATGCAAGTAAATCATCCTAAACCTACTTGGCTAACAGCCTGCAACTTGTGGATGATTTACTATTAAAACAAGACCTTTTAAGACCTCCAACTTAGAGGGATTTTTTTCTGTTCTGTGGGTTCAAAAAATGGGCGATTACAAATATTCCTGAGATGTACATGCTATTTAGTTCATCTCTATGAAAATACAATAGTTAATTACTTTTATTCAACTTTGAGAAATCAAAATTCATTTCAGTGCTTAGTAATTGTTAAATTCTGGCTAATCAGGCTAGTCTTTCCCCTCAACTAACAATAACAAACTTTCTTTTATCTAGCTGAAGAACTTGTACTTTCAGATTATGTATTTCAACACATGTACGGACATTCTTACAGTGAACATTCACAGAATTACATGTGGTTGCTCATTACCAGTGCAACTGAAATGTAACTGCAAATCTGTCATGAGCATGAGTAGAATGTGAAATCCTTGCACAAAGAACCTGATAACTGAACAGTTTCTACTACGGTATTAAAACTGAAAGAAGGCGCTTCACACTGTACATATAATGGTAGTGCACAGTGCGGCATAGTTTTCATAAAACTTCAAGGCAGTGTTTATGGACTGGTGTTTAAATTGTTCTGATAACTTGATCAAACTGAGCACAAAGAAGTGTTTATAGTGTGTGGATAGCAATTTGTTCATTTTTTTAAGGTTCTATATTTTAAAAAACTGACTTGTGTAAAAAAAAAAAGCTAATATTTTGTATTAAAATATCATGTGTATTGATATTTTTTTACCCCTGTTGTCTCCCTCTAGAATCTGGCTTTCATCAATCTTGAGGTGTTTTCAAATTTGATTTACAGCCATTTGTGTAACTGTTTCAGTGGGAAAGTAAGTTGTTGGTTGCCTGTTTCAAAAGGAAGGGAGAAAGAAGTACCTCCTGTGACAATTGATCTTTGTTGTTGTTCTAGCTGTCATTATCAGCACAGAGCAGGATAAGGATGCAGTTGGCTGGAAAAAACAACTTAAACTCTTTTCATAGAATCATAGAATATCCCGAGTTGGAAGGGACCCATAGGATCATGAAGTCCAACTCCTGGCACCACACAGGTCTGCCCAAAAGTTTAGACCATGTAACTAAGAGCGCAGTCCAATCTCTTCTTAAGTTCAGACAGGCTTGGTGTAGTGGCTACATCCCTGGGGAGCCTGTTCCAGTGTGCAACAACCCTCTCGGTGACACCTTTGTGTGACACTTTCTCCCCCAACTGCCCTGTGTCCCCTAGTGCAGCTTATATTGTGTTGGCAGAGCAGTCCTGTCTTAAAAGGTTACAGGCAGTTGGCTATTAGAACAAAGTGAAGTTACAGTTAGCAGGGCTGCAGTACTTACTGTGAGGAGAAACGTAGTATCTAAGAGTAGCAGAGAACCAGCAGAGGGGTGGGGCAGAATGTTAGGTATTCCTCCTCTTCAGGAGCTTTCAGAAAAAAGCTTGCTAACAGCAATTGTAGCTGTGTTCAGATGTAGACTGTTTCAGATTATGCAGAACTCCTAAGAATATGTAATATGTTTAGGACTGAACTGCTTTGTGTACCTTTGTCAGAAGAAAGTCTTATTTTTGAAAATAGAGGCCTTTTTAAACATGGTAACACTTAACAGATTTTGAGATTGTGGGAACACGATCAGCTACTCTATTGATTGAGTTTCAAATCTTTCAGAAGTAATTTTTATTGCTGTTTTTAATTCATGAAAACAGTGCCACCTAAGCATTGATGCGTGTTACTGAACTTGGGCTGTGACTTTTTTTTTTGTTGCCCTTAACGGGTTGCTTTATACAGAAATCTTTTGCATAGGGAATATTGAACTAGTGCAAAGTCTGAAATGAAATTAGTAAGTTGCAGTGCTGCTTTAATTTAGGTTCTGTAGGAAGATGTACAAGAATCAGCTCCAAGTATATATAAAATTGCTATGGCTAGTGTCGAACTTGATCAGATAGAAAAAAATATATATATATATGGTTGAGGGGAACAGAGATTCTCGGCAATTAAATCTTGCAATCCATCTGTATGTGAAAGTTTTACCATCTCCTTTCCCTGCCGAGCTTTCATTGACTGAGAAGGTGGGCACCTCGGGCAGGGATTGAAATTCCAAGTGCCTGGGTCACTTGTGCCCTCTTTCCTAGCGGTAGGTGTGTAATCTGCAGAGTTTCTGAGCCCTGTCCCACATCTTTTCAGCAACCTGTCTTCAAATGTAATATCAGTTCCTGTGATTCTGAACCCTATACCTGACTTCAGGACCAAGGATAATGTAGGATCCCACTCCCCTGCCACCCCACAAACAAAACCAAAAAAACCTTTTCTATAGGTAACAGTGACAGAGCTAAGGAAAAGTGAAATTTACTGAGAGATTACAATAAAAATGTTGGAAAAGGGAAAAGGTTTTACTGATAGTTCAGTCATGTTAGGGCTTGTTCTGTGTTTTTTTTTTTTCCCACTTTCTTAGTTTTACTTTCCTAGTCTCTTGACAGTTGGAGCTACACAACTAATATGCTCTGTTTCCTAGGGCCCAAAAGAAGTTCTCTGACATGTCAGAAGAAATGCTGTTCTCTCCGTGTGCTCTTTCCTGTGTCTTAATAAGTTTGCTCAGCTGAGTGCAGTTGGTTGCAGGAGTAGTCACTCCCCTGCAGTGCTCTACCAGCGCAAGGGTATAAACTGTGCCATCAAACACTTTTAAACAGAACATTAATGCGTGTTTATATAGCAGCTAGGAAACACACTTCATGGCTTTACTGTCTCTGAGCTCAAAGAATCACTTTCAGTGGGCTAACAGAGAATATGCCTTTAAAGAAATACCATGTCTGCGTCCTTTACGAAACGTGCATGCATTGAACAAACATGTGCCTTTTTGAGGGGTTAGAGGAGGAACTGATGTTGGGTCTCCTTTGCTGTGTGCATGTTGGGAGTTGTCAAGTCTTGAAGCAGAAACAGAATGAAACAGTGCGTGTGCCTGTGTAGGTGTCAAACAATGAAGATGTATCCAATGTTTTCAAGGCACCAGGCTAAAAAAGGCCCTGCTGTGTCTTGCTGTAACTACAGTTTGGTTACAAGTAAGGAAGAGGAGAGATGAAAGTGAATGAAATAAATGCTTTCTACCTCCTAAACAAAACATGGAGGGGGAACCTCCTGTGAAATTTCCTTCATCTTATAGTTAAGGAAAATGTCCTATTCAACCTGTAAGCAGCAGGTTGGAAGAGGGGAAGGGAGGCAGACAAAAGTGTTATGATTCTTTTGGTTGCTTCCCCCTGCTTTGATTGGCTGTAGCTATTTTTGAGTCCCCGTTAAAGACAGCAGGTAGGTAAGCCTGGGCATAAATGGGAGACAGCAATTATTCTGCCCCTGCTTTCTGAGAATGCGACAAAGGGAAGAGATGGAAGGAGGAGGTTCCCCTTTGCACAGGTAAGCTTCAACACTGCCATCTCAGACTGAAAGCCAAGGCAAGTTGCTGCTGCCATGGTCCTTAAGTAATGAAGTTCTCTCATCTAAACAGCTATTTTCCAAAAATAAAACAGAGAAGGTAAGGTCATGAGATTTCCATAGCTATATAGCTGTCTATGCAGCCAGCACTCCTGGGTTGTACCTGTTTTTAACTGTCTTGGGTGCTGCGATGCTACAGGAAAGGAAAATAGTGAATTTTTCAGTTTCTTCCCTCATATGCAAGAGTGATACAATAAGTATGAGAATTTGTGGTAAATATGTACATGTATTTGTAAACAATGCTATTTGTGGCATTCAATTCAGGAGCTAGGTATTAGGGAATCATACTTCATTGCTTTGCAGAAGCCTGTCCTCCCATTCTGTGACTCCACTTTCTTCCAGTTTTATCTCACAAGACTCCTGTGGCGACTTCACATGGTGGATGAGCTTAAATATTGAAAGGATTTGATGTAGTAGTTTCTGATAAAAATCAGGGTAAATATCTTAGATCTTCACTAAAGAAAAGTTTATTTCAGGGCAGATAGCAACCTTAGCATGCTTTGAAGTCAGTTACGAAATAAGTCAAACGAGAAAAAAATAATTTATTTAAATTTTGTTTGTGTAGGAAGGCCCTGATCTAGAATTGATGAGAAACAATATTTAAAGAAAATGTGTTTTGTTTTACTCTTCCTTCAGTTGTAGTTGCCATCCATGTGTTCTAGGCTGAATAGGCTAGGCTTGGTCTGACTGCAGCTGCTTTGTTCTTTGGACTTCTTGTATGCAGAAGCCTCTCTGGCAGGCAGGGGTGATGCAAAACGTGCTGCAGAAATAGTCTGTGAGGTGGCACTTTATTTCCCAGCTTTCCCCAACCTGATTCTTTCCTAAAACCAGCACTTCCCAGGAGCAAGCTATATTCTGGGATGCTAAAAACTACAGAAGTTCTTCAAAAGGCAGGAGGAAGGGGGAGAATACAGTGGGGAAAAGTAAAATCATCCCAACTTTAGTAGCGCTGAGTTCTACAACTGGTAACTTCCAATTTAAGACCAGAAGCATCGTGTTCTTCTAGTAGACAAGGAATTAGAGACAAAAGGATTAACTATGTGGAGAGCAGCTCTGCTGAAAAAGGCTGAATTCAGGTCAGCATTGTGCCCTGGCAGCAAATAAAGGCAATAACATCCTGTGCTGCGCTAACAGGAGCATGGCTGGTAGACTGCGGGAAGGGCTTATCCCCGTTTCACATCCCCAGAGAGATTGTGCAGTCCCCATCCCTGGGTTTTTCAAGACCCAACTAGATAAATCAGTTTTAGTAAAACATGTTGCAGTTCCAAAATTAGCTGACTATATTTAGAATGTAAAATCCAAACTGCATGCATACATTTACTAATAGCTGAGAATCAGAAAGAAGTTGATATGCATCTTAAATAGTCTTGCTCTGTTTTGTGCTACTCTATCAATTTAAATAAGTTCAACAGAAGAAATTTATATGCAGAGAGGTTTGCTAAATTTTCCAATAAAATGAGTGGAAGTGACAAGGGTCTCTGCAGCTGCAGATCATGAGTAATCTTTGTCTTCATAGGACTCTGTTTCGACTGAAAGAAAATTACAGGCCTTAATTGCTTCTACTTCTCTTACTTAGAATGGGTTTTTATTTCAAAAATTTATTCTGGCATGTTATTTAATATTTAGTGAAGTGATATTTACCTGTGTCCAGGAGTTATGTTTCATAGTTTCTCTCTGTCCTAGCAGATGTCATCTCCAACTTCTTCCAGGATAAGTAGTTAACATGATTTGACAGCAATTATGGAGATGTCATAATTCCATATACAGGATTTTCTGGAAAGAGCAGTTTTTACAAGTATTAGCCAAAAATATCATCTAGACATTGCCTGAAATTTGAAAGATTAGGTAAAATGAAGACTGTGAAATGCAAAAGACTTACATATATGTATTTGTAACTCCTATCCCAAATGTGGAATCTGAATAGGTGAATGATGACAGTAATGGTTTGTATGTCCATAGTGGTGCTCAAGATGTTTCTGATGATGTTATGTAATTTAACCTTCTGTGTTATAGTGCTACTGGCTAACTTTTTAGTAACCTGCGCCTGCAAAATTCATCTTCTATATAGTCCCCTATGCAGTTTACAGATTATTTTAGATTTTACGCTATGGGTGAAGGAACAGAATGAGATGCTGCTTGATACGGGATGCATGTTTCTCTGAGAGAATTGTACATTCAAGCTCAATGACATCCGATACTAGTTTTGACAGCTGTGGGATGCCTGATCTTGAGCTGATACAGATCTTGCATGTCCATAATAGCATAAACAGAAAAAGGTGTAGAAAATTAGCAAATAGCTGAGATCAACTAGGATTTCCATGTGTATAGATCTTTTTTTTTTTTTTTTTTTTTTTTTTTGCATGTCTCTTAGCTCCCCTTTCTCCACCATATTAAACATAGTTATTGTCTTTCAGTGCTCCAAAAAGAACCTGTAGAACTTTGTCGAAGGGTGTGACTTCCCCTTCAGAGCAAGGACTAGGTATTTTCCATGTGCTGCTAGGCTGTAAGCAGCATGGATACGTATTGTGCTGCTGCTTTTCTAAACAACATGGTAGTCACGAAAGACTGCTACAGCACCTGTGCAAGTAGCTGAAACTGTCGTATGGATGAAAGATTATTTTTTCCCATGCATTTTTTTAATGTAGTAAAGAAATACTCAATACCTTGCCTTTTGGACTACAGAGTGTAGAAAAAAAATCATGTGACAGTGGAAAATTTGGTCAATATGCATACATAAAAGTGCACTTTGGTTTTCAAGTTTACAATTTATGTATCTTTTTTGAAAAATCTTTAGTAAGCATGTTAATGTCAGTACTCAAACAAAGTTCCTTTGTTTTTAAATTGCTATGATAGATTTTTTATTTTTATTTATTTATTTATTTATTTTGTATAATTGGTAATGATGGAGGAAAGGAACTGTTTATTTTAAGGTAGGTGATCAATACCTTGACACGGTCATTTTCAAAAACCACCAGCCTTCCTCCCCAGAGTAAAACTTCATTTACAGAGGTATTACCTAATGGAAAAAATGCCTGCCTGGCTGATGAAGGCTATTTGTGACACTACAGCATACGCACACCAAAAATGTATGCATTTTGCTGAAATAACCAGACGCATCTTTGAGATAGCATGTTAAGTTTTTATTGCCTGGATTTCTCATTACTTGAACAAAACCATATGCACTAGGGAATTCGGTATGTGGCCATGTACTCCAGAGAATCCTGTAAGTGTACTTTCTTTCCTTCTAGTTAATAGGCATACATCCATTTTAAATTAAAAAAGTTAGAGCTGAATATAGAATAAAAATGAAAGAATCTGTATTCCCTATTTTGAATCATTGACTTCTTAAACCATGTAAGAAATTTATAGACGCTTACTGAGCTACACAAGAAGACAAAGAAAATAAAAATTTGCTCATTGATGTTCTTAGTACTGCAGATTTCTATAATGTTCTAGTCATTTTCAGAAACATAAAATGTTAATATACAATTTACTCAGAACTAAAAGTATAGGGAGTAATTCCACCTACTAATGTTACATAGGATCAGCTAGCTGAAAAAAGTTGGGCTGGCATATTCATGTCTCTCCCTAAGATTTTTGGGTTGAGTCATGATATGTCCTAAATCACTTTCTATCCAATTATCCCAAGGACTGAATTATTCTAGTAGTATTAAGGCACAGAATAAGGGTGTCTGTATTTTGTGTGTCCAAGTCCCAAAAGATGTTCAGGGCCAAAGTGATACAGCCACGTTTAAACCATACTGTAAACCATACTGCAGTTGACCTAAACACCTGCCTGACCTAAACACCTGCCTGACAACGCCTGTCCTGCTATGATAAGTAAAAACAATTAAGAAACCTTATTTCTATTTGTATGAGTAATACATTTAACATCACATTTTACAGTTGTTATTTATGTGTGACACTTACGCACTCTGGCGTTTATTTCTGAAGCTTTTTATGGTATAAGAAAATTTCCATGTAACTTCTTGGTTTATTCCATATGCAGCTTTTCCAGGCTCACTGTAAGCTAAACACAATACCTGCTTCCTCAGAACACGAGGATTGTTAACAGGAGGAAACTGCATGAAGAACATGTATTTGCAGTGATTATAGATGGAGAAATGGTGAGCAGTCAGCATGTATTGCTATTAATTCTCCCTGTGAGCTATAACACACTGAAAAATACAGTGACTAAGAGATGTTCATCTAAAAGCATGTTAACAATTGCTTGATCTTAGTGTAGAATAACCTACAGAAGTAAAAACCTACAAAAAAGACTCTGATAGCATATAGCTCCTTAGTCTGTCAGGAAAAAAAAAGCAAAATGAGATCCAATAGATGACTGAAGAAACTAGATTGATGCAAATTAAAACTAAGATTGAGATTATTGAGGAAAATACACCTGAAGTCTTTTATTGCTTGCAGTCTCCAAGTAAGGACTGGATACTGTTATTCAAGCATACTTCTAGTCTTGGCATAATATAAATGAGGGAGGGTTTTTTATGTGGGAGGTCAAATGAAAATTGTCCCAGAAGTGTCTTAGAACATTACCATTTTGTTTTCAAAAGGTCTTAAGAAACACAGTACAATATGTAACAGGCTGTCATTAACTCTGACCATTGACTATGTGAAGTGCCCAGTGCACACCCACTCCCTCTGCAAAATGTACTAGTACCTTGAATCCATTAAGTCTCTGTTTCCTTAACTTTATTTGACATTAACAACGTATATATTAATTACACAGTGCCTCCGCTTTCAGTGTAAGTGTCAGTCAGACTGGCTGCATTTTTTTTCCATAAATAGTGCACAAATGAAATCTATTCTTATTTTTTACAGAATTTAGGGCCTGGTTGTTTTATTTAGCAAAAGTTTTCATTGCTTAACTGAGCAGTTTAGAGCAATAGGATGAATTTTCTATTTACCACTGGTTTCCTGTAGGATGCAACTTGTTGGTTAGGTGCCTAAATCATTTAGAATCTGGCCTGGAGCTTCACCCGTAAAACTGGAATAGTAGTACTTCCACATCTCAGGGGAGGGTGGCGAGGATGTGGTGAGTTGTGATCAGCACTGAATAAGTTAGTTGGGAGCCTGATGATTCAAGGTATGAAGGTGTCGAGGTATTTTGTGGATCCCCATTGACTGAAATAGAGGTATACATCTCTCAATTGAAAGAAATGCCTAGGGAGAGAAGGAAATTGAAAAGAAAGTTTGAACTAAGGCATAATCTAGTACTTTAAAATGAGGTGTAAGAGAACATGGATAGAAAAGGCAGTATCTATCTATGAATTCTAAATCTAGTGAGGGTAGTGTTACTGAGGAATAAATAAAAAAAAAAAAGGAAAAAAGCAGCTAGAAATAGTAACAAAGGAAAACAAAACAACACACCACCAATTAAGTTCTGTATTTGCTCTCAGATTTTGTGTTGAAATAAAAATGTTAATAGCTGCTCTCTTTAAGATATTTTACCTTCCAGCTGCTGCCTTTAAAATCACAGGTGCTGTCCCTTTCCAACCACAAACCTTGAAACCTGTAGCACCACCTTTTTGTTTATTGCTCAGGAAGAATATCAAAGAGAAAAGTTAAGGCTTAATATTTTTCACTAGAACACCTTGTGATTTGCTTTTGTTTCAGTAAAAGGTCTTTCAGAATTTTATTTGTCCTTCTCTTCTCCTCTGTACAGCTTCTGATGTGGAAGTTTTTCCACTCAACAAGAATACAGACATCATGTCCTCTGACACATGCACCTTGAAATTCATATAAATAAAAAAGTCATTATTGACTATAAAAATAGCTCTTCAGATCTAGTACTTCAAATTCTCATGGTCAAATACTTATTCTGATAACTGTCATTAATCTGAGTTGTTGAAACATCTATGCAAATTGTAAAAGATCCAAGATCATTCTGACATTAAGATTGTGCTTTCCATTTGCTCTGTTTCTGACTGGAAAAAAAATAGTCTATGAATGATGCCTTAAATTATTTATCTCTATTGAAATTTTGGTCACATTGTCATCTTTTCAGAGCTAAAGACATGGCTGAAAGAACAGAGGAAAGACTTGTAAATGCCAAAACCCATACATTCTCTCAATTATTTTATACCTATATTATAGGACTTAAATGTCTTAAGCTACAGTTCTGTGAATAGCACAAAACAAATGTTGAAACTAATTTGAGAGATTTTTCAAACAAGCTCCTTGGAAGTTGATTCAAACCCGGTATAAATATGCATGATTTTACCCACCTGTAGCTTTATTTACTTAGACATGGGTCCAGATCAATCATGTCTTCTAAGTTTACTGTACTTCATGAAATAAGAAATTAATACTCGCTGTAATACCACACAACATGACACTAAAAACCATTAAAAGAGCATAAAGCACAGCTTTGCTGTGAAAGTCTCTAGTTTCAAATTACGTATACAGCTTACTAGAGAAAGGTAGGGTAGCTAGTGAGACATTCATTTTTTCTGGTGACTTCCAGAGAAAGACTTTAAATTGCTGACAGTCATTTTGTTTGTAAAACAACTACGTTGTTTAGAGGTGTGGATTAATTTCAGTCCATTGCTCTAAATCCATAAACCAATATTCAGGATGATGAAAGTTCTTGTGAGTCAAAGAGATGAATATATGGGGAATGCTGCTGACTGTCACACTGATAAAAAACAGGTGTCAGGGATTTCCATTGCACAGTGTTTTTGTGCTCCCCAGTCTAAAAGCTTAACTTCTGCCATATGGATGCCCTCTTAGAACGTGGCAATCTCCCAAGACCTTGTGCTTCCCACAGCGAGGAATGTTTCTGTACCTGGGCTGGCAACTCTCTTGATAGTAGTTGCATTACTGTCTCTCTTTGTATTACAGATCCCCCTAAACTGCAAATGTTAAATAACAATAGATACTTTCACTATTGACAGTGGTAAACACATCATTATCACCAGTTTCCAAAATCAAAGTTAACAAACAAAAAAAACTTGCATGTTTCAAGCAGCTTAATAACATACTGCAGAAAAATAAATGGAAATGTAAGGGCTGGGGAGGAAAGCAGATAAAACCATACACATTGTCATGGTGCAGGGTGTTTTCCAATCTCTGTCAAGATAAAAGAAAAATAGCAATTGTTCTGTTGTGTATAAAAATAAACCAATATTTCCCTCTCATCCAGCTATAGCAGTAAAGTATTTATTTTTTTTTTATAATTTTGTCTCTGTTCAGAGCCTTAAGTTAATCTCCTATTGTCACCAAAAATTCCCTTGGCAACGCAAACTCACGACCATCAGCCAAAATAAGTTCCAATGTGAAGCACTTGGTTATGCAACTTGAAAGGTCACTGGATTCTGTGGGCTGCTTATATGCTTAAGCAGATACTTTAGTACTTTGATAGACTGAAGCATGGGTCATTCAAATAGTTATAATAATAGAATGTGCCTGAATAGAAGGCACATACTTAGGAAGGAAAATTAAAGGCATGTAGAAAACATTTTGAATGGCATTATAAGCCCTACGAAACACAACATTAAAAACCCACTAATAGTTTCAGTGACTGAGGCAATGATTTTCAAAAGGATTTTAGCTTTAGCAGCTATTGGATATGGGATTGGGAACATGATGAGCAATTTGGGGAATTTGACTCCAGTTGCATTAGTGGGACACTTTTGAAGTGTCTCATATAAAATTAAAAACCTAGTCCTTTTGATAAGTCTGTTTGATAAATTGGAAGTGAAGCGCCTGAGATATTTAAGGTAGGCACAAGCTGAGGGAGAGATGAGGAAAATATCAGTTCTGTGCTCTGACAACCAATATCATAAAGACAGAATTGCAGCTTGACCTAAAACATGAAACAGAAAAGAATTAGTCCAGGTACTATTCAGAGAAGTCTCAACACAGTGACTATCTCATCTAAATAAGTCCTATACTATTAAAATAAAATTTAATTAAGGTAGGTGGTTTTAAAAGATTTCATCAATATTAAAAAAAGATTATTGTTGTTATGGGGAGCATTCCCCTTGGGAAATCAGAGATTTTTGTTCCTCACTAAATATTTGATCATAACAGATTAAAAAAAAAAAAAAAAAGACAAAATCTCTTTTAAGTCACTAGAGGGTGAGCGCTTCTACATCAAAATAAGTAGTTAAGCTGCAATGTAGCTTAGCTTATTAGTGTGTCTTAAATATTAGATGTAATACAATTCACATTCTAGCAAGTGTAAATGAGGCAGACAGCTTGCAATCCTTACTGAATATTTCAATTAGTAATTTGTTTGTAGAAAGCTGACTAAAATTATTTAAACTATGCATATTGGAATGTTAAAATGCATAAAAATACAGCATTTTTGAAAATCACTAGCTAATCACTAGATAGGCATAGTATGTTGTGTTGCACAGTTAAATATTTTCTTATGAAAACGGCATGTATAATGCAAATGCTGCTTATATAATCTGTAAAACACAAAAGGAACATGTGATATAGTTATGTCCTGCTCAGGTGGGATGTGTTGACTAGCTTAATTTTTAAGTTGTTCTCTTTTCTGCAAATACCACATTCCTATGTGAACAGAATTCAGTATCTTATCTAGCTGTCAGTCTTGAAACCTCACTTCACAACACTTATTTAATTATATTAAGTATAAGGCCACTTAAAAGCCTTAGACATAGGTCAGAATTCCATCAGAATTAGTAAAACCTTTGGGGGTACAAAGACCAATTAAAAAAATAGGGGCACTCCCTACCTAGCCTATTCAGGCATCCCGTTCATTACAAAGGTCCACCAGGAGCTCAAGCAAAAAAGAAAGATCAGGTTAGAGAGCAGAACATCTCAACTTGTCCTGATGATTTGCTCTAGAAGATATTTAGAGAACAGCATGAAACTCTTTATAAACAGCTGTCTTTGAAAACCACTGTGGAAGGGTGAAGTCCTAGGAGACTGGAACACAGCAAACATTTTTACTGAAAAGGTGGAAATGAAGAATTACAGCCTAGCTGCTTTAACATCAAATGCCCTAGAATTCAGGGCTATATGTACATTATTTCAGAGCATTTAGAAGATAACAAGGAGACAAGTAGAAACCTCTGTGGACTTATCGGGAATAAATCATGTCAAGCCAAATAATTTTCTTGTAGAACATGGCAACAGATCTCATGAATGGAATAGAAAAAAAATGGTTATAACTTAATATGGGCATGGCCTTTGGATTGTTTTCTATGACATTATTAAGAACAAATAGCAAATTAAGAACTTTTTGCTTTCTCATGGTGCACAATGGTTGTAAAAAATGCTTGGAAAAAAAAAGTACCCAAAAAACAAACAATAACAACAACAACAAACAAACAAACCCACCATACTTAAAGAACAGTAAGTCATAGTTCATTTTCAAAGTAGAAGAATTCCTTCCAAGTTCCTGTTTTTTTGCAGAGATACGACATTTGACAATGATCAGTAAGGAAGGGATGATGAACTCATCTGATAAAAGTACAGCAGTTTTTGTGTGAAGAGCTCTGATATTGAGAGAAAAAGTAACCCGAAGGAGAAGATAGTTGTAATAAAACGAAGCAACTTGATTTGAGTTATGTGCATGTATATTTAAAATTTACATTACCGTGGTACCATCAGGACCCACCGTTACCTGGGGTGGGAGGAGCTGAATCAGAGCCACTTGAACGAGCTGCTCCAAGGAGTTAGGGACGCAGTGGGAGCAGGGCCAGCAGAGGGAGCCAGTGTGGCACAGAACATGGGCCTGAAGGGCAGGGGAAGCGACCCAGAGCAGGGCAGGTCAGGGAGCAGAAAGCAGGGACGCTTCAGCCTAGCAGCGGGGCTGCAGCAGTGCCTCCAGCCCGAGGGACGCGGCTCAGGCAGCGTTGCCAGGTGTTTCTGGCCAGGACACAGGTTTCAGCCTTTATTGCACGAGAAGCTGAAGGGTTTCTAAAAATTGAGAGCTACTGCTGCTGCCCCCTCTCCTGCAACCCGCGGACAGAGATACGAAAGCCCATTAGTTACTGGAGGCTTCAATGCTCCTCTTCTGTGGGAGTGGCAGCGCGGAGGGCCAGGGGCCGTTCGTACATCACTCGGCTCTGCTCAGGGGCAGGGGCAGAGAGACAGAGACGGGTTTAAAAAAACGGACTTAGCTAAACGCAAACGTGCAATTTCTCAAGTTTTTTCCCCACACTGTGAGCAAGCGCAGGGATCGTTTCTATGCCCTTTGCCTCCTTTGTTCTTGATAGACTTCCAGCCCCAGCTCCTCACTGAGCGGCACTCACAGGCTCAGGGGCTGCTGCCCACGGCCTCAGCCGAAGCCACTGCCCGGGGGGGGAGCGGGACGGCGCCCCCCGCCCCCCGTCCCCCTGTCCCCCCGTCCCTCAGCCCCTCAGCCCCTCAGGCCGCCTGACGCGGGGGGCCGGCGGCTGCCCCCTGCCGGGCCGGCGGAGCGCGGCCGGCTCCTCCCCGCCCAGTCCCCGCCCGCGGGTTGCCCGGGGAACGAGGGCAGGGAGCTGCCGGGCGGCCGCTGCCTCCTCCCTCCCTGCTTCCACCCTTCCCTCCATCCATCCCTCCATCCCTCCATCCCCTCCTTCTCTCTCTCAGGCGGAGCGGCGCCCCGACCCAGCCGCCATGCCCCGAGCCGCCCCGCTGCTCCTGCTCCTCCTGCTGGCCCTGGCGCAGCGCCGCGCCTGCCTCCCGGGGCCGGCCACCGCCGCGCCCCCCGGCGCGGACCCCTGCCTCAGCCAGCCCTGCCAAAACAACGGCACCTGCTCCCCGGGGCCGGCCCGCGGCCCCGCCGCGCCCCGCCGCCCCCAGCCCCCGGCCGCCTACCGCTGCTCCTGCCCCCCGGGGGTCACCGGCGCCTCCTGCCAGGTAAGGGCTGTCCCCCCCGAGCTCCCCCGGGGGTCGCGGGGAGCCCACCGAGCCCCCCGAGCCGGCCGCCGCCCTTCCCGGGGGGAGAACCGGCCCCGGAGCGCCGGGCGGCAAATCGCGGCCCCCCCCCGGGCATCGCCCCGCCAAGGGGGGGCCCGGTCCCTGCCGTGGGGGGGTCCCGGCACGGCCCGCTCCGGATTGCCGGAGGGCAAAGCGCCCGGGAGCTGGGACCCCAGACACCGCCACCGACGTCCTTCTGACTTGCTTGGTCATATCAGGGGCTCCGTGTCATCGGGATTAATTCTCACCGTCGTGTGGAGACGTCTTCTTGTTTGCCTCTGTCAGTGAGGATGAAAAATCCCCGTTATCGTGCTCGGAAATGCCCAAGTTCATCTGCTGTGTCCTCAGATGAGGAAAAGCGGGTGCAGGGACAAAGAGGTTTGGTTCCCGCACGCATACATGGTGCCTCGGGTTACCTTGTGGCAGCAGCGCAGGAGAGGCGGTGTGGGCTGCCTTCCATTTCCACGGACAGTGCCCTCTGTTTTACGTGGATTTGATGTAAAAGCAGATGAATTCAAGTAAAAGCAGTCAGTTTCACTATTTATTCATTTATTTATTCACTGCTCCCTGGTTGGGTAGTACCCAAACTATGCTGCTGAACAGATGGAAGGGATAATGCCTTTACTGGAGACTTAAGGTGAATTTGGAAGGCATTGTGAGGTACGAGTGCTTTGCTCCGAGCTCTGTGCCGGCCTTGAAGCATCTCGGATGAGTCAGTGTAACAGGGAAAGTGAAAATATTAACGCTAATGAGATTCTGCAAAATCAGAGAGATTAAAGAGGATTAAATAGAATTCTCTCTGGCTAATTTTAGCTGTTGGTCTCTCAAGAGTTTACTACATTTCTATTGCTACAAAGAGAGGGAGAGCGCGCTGAATGTTCGCCTCTGCTTGCTGCTGTTAGACTTGGTGCCTGCGATCCGGGACTGAAGGATTAATGACCCTTCTAAAGACTTAGTAAAATGTAACGCTTGCTGGCATCGTACCTCCTGTGAAGTGTTGTGTCTGGGGAATGGGGTTTAATTGTTTCTCTAATACAAGAGAGGCGATATTCTCACAGCAGTTACGCTTTTTATTAAGTAATAAGAGGAGGCTTTGAGTGTCATGCATTTTGTTTCTTTTTATGAAATACCGAGTAATGACCCTTGAAACAGGAATCTGCTAAACAAGTGAATGCCACTTCTGGCTGTTATGTCAGCAGCTGAAGTATGGATCTTAGTTAGCTGTGGAAAGTTAATATGGTTTTGAAATGCAACTTTAACTGTAGAGCAGGTGGGTGGTTTAGAATTTAAAGGGATAAAGACATCGCTTTTATCCACAGCTGAGGTTTTGCTCTTTCTATCAAAATAGGAATTTAATAAATATTGTACAAATGCATTAATTCTTGTGTTTTGCTATTGTATTATTCAGTGAAAATAAATAAGTAAAAGGATTGTAACCCTTAGAGGATAGGAGGAAAACTATAGGCTAAATCAGGGGGACCATGGGGATATATTTAGCCAGGTGGTTTCCAACTTACTGCTGAGGTTGTTATGGAGGTTGGGCTTGGAGAAGTGACTACCAACAGGGAAATAAGAGCAGTAATTGTTTCGCTTAAACACCCAGATCATACATGTAGAAGGTAAGTTTGAGGTTATACAGGTTGTGATGAAACTGGAGTTCTCTGGAACTACACTTGCCTAAAGGTATAGAATCACTTTTGTGGTACTTTTTGTAGCAAAGGCAATATTTTCTCTCTTCTGCTCAGATGCATTAAGGCATGGAATGAGGGAAAAATGTTCCAAATATACCTGCAAGTCAACTGGGTGCAGTGAAGTTGATAATGTAGAGGGACTGATAACAAAATTGGAGATTGCCACAGATTGTGTTGCTGAAGTTTTTACTGTACCTGGCTTTGATGCACTTGGTGGAGCTGGTGCTGGCACAGGCAAAGTGGCAAAGAATAAAACTGTCATCACATGCGTGAGATGCTTTTAGAGGTCTAGAGCTTTCCTATCACCAAGTGAAGTATTTAACTTGGACTTAATCCAGTTCTATGATCTTATGTTATAGTTGTTTCAGGAACTCATTATTTATTCAACAAAAGCTATCTCAGTATATCCATGCCATGCATTATGCATGTCTATATGTATCACGTTACTTAGGGTTTGAGTGTACTTTGCTCTGCAGACTTCAAGATTGTGTTGTTATGGATTGTTTGGCTTCACACTGTGGGACATTGCTGTACTTTAACTCCACTTCTTTTCATGGATATGAATTTTTTCCACTTCTCTGTGCCATGTTTCTAGCTTGTATAGGGAATAAATAGAATCACTGTATCTTAAACTTTAGTCTGAGCAGAGAAATTACACACATTATTTGTGAAATTGTACAAAAATTATAGTGAATTTGGGTGCCTTTCTGCAGGAATTTTAAGTTGTCCTATTCTCAGCTTTATTCTGAGAAAATTTGATGAAATAAATTGAAATAAACTGAGTGACAGATGTTAAAGTTATGCTGACACACACTTATTTTTTTTTTACCTATGTTTTACTCTGAAAAGCAATCTTTAAGCTTTATTTCTAACCACTAGTCTAATGACTACTCTGTTATTTCCAATGACACGTATAACCTAATAAAATTATTTTATTGTTCAGGAAGGTTTTATGTAAAAATTGTTTTATCTGTGCCTTTTGAAATAATTTTAGAGACCTAAGGTACAGAATAACTAAATAAAAATTAAAAAAAAAATAAAATCATGACAGACTTGATTGTTTGCTTAAAAAATGCCAAATCTGAACACAGTTAATTTCATTCAATCGTATTATGTTTATTTGCTTCAACGCTAGTGCTAATTTCATTAAAAGACTATTGTGTGAAGAAACATTGATTTATTAATGATTTTTACCTACTATCATACATGCTTGATTTGGTTTTGATTTTTGTTTCTTCCTTTTCTTTTTTTCTTTTTTTCCTCTTTTCCTTTCTTTTTCCCCCCCTTTTTCTCCTTTTGTTGACAATTTTCCCCACTGCTTATTTCTTCAGTAATTTTAATGTACTTTTAGTTACTTTATAGTTTCTGTCAGCAATTAAAGCTAGGAATCAGGTAGTATCTCTGAGCTGGCACGCACAGCTTGGAACCAGCCTTCTCTCTTGGCTGCCATCTCCAGCTCCCTGCTGTATGGTCTGCAGTGGTGGCACGACCTCCGTGTACTTCTCAGGGTGATGTGGTGGCCCCTGATGTAGCTGGTTTTTGAGTTAGTATTGAAAGTAGTATTTTAGTAGCCAAAAAATCTCATTAGTCTTGAGGAGAATTTGTTGTGTTCATTCTTATGGTTATCTTCCTGCGGCTACAGTGGAAAATATTATATATAATATTTTTA